AATAAATTCGGGCTACACACACACACACACACACACACACACAGGAGGGGACATCTTGGACAAAGGAGGGACTTGAACCCAGAACCCCGAGGGCCGTTCCATCAGGCCCATGCGCAGAAGGAGACGCTAGGGCTCTGAGAGGCACCGTCACCCGCTCCTTTACCTCCCCCCCACCCCTCGCTGACCAGGAGACCGACCGCCTGCAGTCCAGCCCACACCTGCTAACCCCAAACTGGTCTTCTCCCAGGGCGCCCTCCGCAGACGATGCCTCGTTATCCCGGGTCCTCCTATTTGAGGCAAAATGAAACCAAGATGAGAAATGCGGGGGAAAATTGCTGACACCAGCGGCCTGACCTCACGCACCATCCGTCATCTTTGCTGCTTCCTCCGGACGGTCTTCGTGCTCGGAATGACAATGTCCTGGCGCTGGGGGAAGTTCTGGGGCGCCAAGGCCGGGTGTGGGGGAGTCACGGAGGCAGGCAGCGCCCCAGAAGTGGGCACAGGAGGCCGGCAGCAGGGAGAGTGGGAATAGACGGGGAGCATGTGCGGCGGGCGGGGGGGCCCAGACTCTCCACGGTCACCTGGGGGGTCCGGTTTGTGTCGGAGAAGGGGCGTCCCCAGCCCAGCCCCACGCAGACCCCGGTGGAAGCTCTGAGCTCCAGCCCAGAGGAAAAGCCATCACACCGTGGTCAGCCCAGGTGTGTGTGCGCTCCAGTGGGAGGGCCCAGGAGTGAACCACGGGGCGGGGCCAGACATAGGGGCGGGGCCAGTGACAGGGGCGGGGCCATCCAAAGGTTTGGGACCAGTTGTAGGGGCGGGCATACATGGGGCAGGAGCAGCCATAGGGTGGGCCACGCTAGGGGGTGGGACCAGAGATAGGGGCGAGGCATGATAGAGGGCGGGCCCGTTATAGGGGCGGGATCGGGGCCGGAGGGGCGGGGCCACAGCGTCCATTGGGTCCAGGAGGTGGGTCTCAGCCCCGCCTCTTTGCCCTCCGCTTCTCTGGACCTAAAAGCAACAGGAGGGTCGATCGGGGCACAGCCTGCGCCGCCTCTGTCGTCCGTCCGCACCCGGTTCCACCTGGTTTTACTGCTTCTTCACGCCCCTTTCATCGGATTCCTCCTCGCCTTCCCTCCCGCTCCGAGAACTCATAAAACCGTGTTTAACCGCGTCTTTTCTCGATTGGCTTTTCATCTTATTTACTTAAAAAGTGTCGGCTGAGATTCCCCCCTAAGATCTTATTCTTCGGAAACCTTTCGGCCGTGACTGATTTCCTATCGGAACGTGTTCTTGCAAAACGCCCGTTGCTGTTCTGTGGGCCTATATTTTAACTCTGCGACTTCGAAGGCACCGCGCGATGCATTTCATTCTGTTTGGGATGTGATTAAATTTCACGAATGATTATGTTTTGAACGTACGCGCATCCCGCGGAATATACAGCACCTCGCTGTTTGCACGGCGGCATCGCCTCCGAGGTGCCTGTTCCCCTGTGTCCTCTGTCCCATCTCCCAGGGCCCCCACCCAGGCGCCTCCGGCTCCAGCCACCACAGACACACTCAGGGCACACCCGTATGCGGGACCCCTGCTCCTCTCCGGGGTGCCTGCTCCACCCTCCCTCCTGCCTGCAGGGCACAGTGCCCCTGTGACCCGTCTCCCTGGAACACTGGGAGGGCAGTTCGGAGCATCTGCCCGTTTCCCCGGGACGGAGTGTAAGCTGAGCTGGAGTCAGGTCACGGGGCAGGAGGGGACCCAAGTGCGTGACGGGCTCTGCGCCACCTTCCGGGAGCTGCTCGGCCCCAGCTCAGGCCCACCCTGCACCCCTGGACCACAGGCCCACACGCTGCCAGCCCACCGCCCTGGACTGGGAGGGGTCCCCGCCGGAGCCAGGGTTCTCGGTATAGATGCCTCTTCTTTAAAGGGGACCCCCGACCCCCTTGCCTGGCCTGCGTGGCTCAGTGGTTGAGCATCGACCTACAAACCAGGAGGACAGGGTTCGATTCCCATCAGGGCACCTGCCAGGAGGTTGCGGGCTCGATCCCCAGTGTGGGGCGTGCAGGGGCAGCCGATCCATGACTCTCATCATTAATGTGTGTCTCCCTCTCTCTTTCTCTCTGAAATCAATAAAAACATTTAAAAACAGAAAGAAAAAGGTATTTCATGGCCCATTGCACGCATTTCCCCGGGAAGGTTCTCTGTAACCGCGGTGACAGGTGTGTGCGTGACAGAGGAGGGGCCGTTCTCATCCTGGAACCGCCTGGGGCTTGTTCCCTGCTGGGGACGGGCAGGTGGAGGGGGGAGCACAGGGGACGGGGGCGCCAGGGGCGTGATGGGCAGGGAGCCCTCCATCACTCTCCCTGGAACACCTGTCACCCCGTCAGATGCACGACACGCTCTGGGCACTCGGTGGAGCCAACAGCCGAGCTTCCCCAAGTCTGCACGCGAGTGTTCTGCCCGCCTGTTCTCGGGATCGAGCCCGTCAAACACCGTGTTTTCCAAAACGTCCCGTCTCCCTCCCTCCCCGAGATCCAGGTGAGCGCGGGAGGGAGGGAGCCGGGGCTAGAGATGCCATCGGCTTAATTAAAGTCTGAGGTTCAAGGTGGGGATGATTTATCACGGCTTCCCGAGGCCCGGGGCTCAGAGCCCCCTCGGAGGGGAGGGACCACCCCGACAGCCGCACTCACCTGACAGGGTCTGGTCCCCAGCTCTCCTGGGGTCAGAACATGGTTTCCATGGAAACCGAGGCCTCGGCGGTGGATTGCACGGGCTGGTGTCGGTGGTGCTAAAACAATGCGGTGGGTGCAGAACCGCCTAGAACAGATGCAGTGAAGTTTATGTAATTTCCTGAAATTCGGGAACCGCCCCCACGGTCAGGGGCGGGGTGGGGGGGGCTTTCTCTCCTGGTTCGAGCCCAGGGGCAGGCGGGTGCTGGAGCTGCTGCGCGTCCGCCCCGGGGCCGACACAGATGCAGACATGTCCCAGCCCGGCCAGCAGGCCCAGCACGCGTCGTCCGCAGAGAGAGGGCGCACGGGGACAATGGGGACGCCGCCATGGAGCCTCTGTGAGAGCCACCCGGGGGCAGACATCCCTCATCCGGGTCTCGGCTCCCCACGCCTCTCTGGGTGGCCCCGGGGGACGGGCTTTGCCGCCACCGTGCAGAGTTCGTGAAGGACCCCCCGGAACTGACTCCCTCCCTCGCACACTCAGTCCTGCCTGCGCTGTGCCCACCGGTGCACCTGCCCCCACCTCACCTCCTCGTGGAACTCGGCATCTGCGCTTCCCTCCTTTTTTAAAAAAAAATTAAGACTTTTTTCAAATATATTTTTATTGATTTCAGAGAGGAAGGGAGAGGGAGAGAAACATCCATGATGAGAGAGAATCACGGATCAGCTGCCTCCTGCACGCCCCCCACCGGGAATGGAGCCTGCAACCCGGGCCTGTGCCCTGACCAAGAATAGAACCCGGGACCCTTCAGTCCTCAGGCCGAGGCTCTATCCACTGAGCCACACCAGCCAGGGCTAGAATGTCCTTTCCGGTTAACAGAGCATGACTCGAACTTCCCATAACCATGGCCGGTCCCCGATATTCTATTTTTGCCCCGAACGCCCTGAACCCACCTTCCAGACCCAGGACCGTGTCAGAGCCAGGCCAGCCGCACCAGCCGGGCAAGTGAGCTTCCGGTTAAGAAAAAGCAATAATTGTTCATGCGTCTCCCGGGCCCTCAAGCAAATCCGGCTTTTCTTCCGCCTCCGCAAGGCAGGTGAGGGGAGAACTTGGTTCTTTAACTAAATGTAGCCTCTCCCCAGAGCCCGCCTGCCTAATGGTGGGAGAGAACCGCTCGGTTCCAGGGGAGCAGCAGCAAGGCAGGCGGGGCGTGTCTGGACCATTGAGGATCCTCTCCCCGCCCCTCCCGCTGCCTCACCTGGGCCCGTGCTCCCCTCCCACGAACCAAAGCCGTCGAACACGTTAGGGACAGGAAGCTTTTATTTCGTCAGAATCACAACACGTTCCGCTGCCGGCGGCACCCACCGCCTTCCCCCACGCCCTCTTCCCAAGGTCCCCTTTGGCTGGGACTGGACGTGGGATGACCAACCGCAGGCCGGGCCGGACGGACCCCGAGTGTATAAATAACGCAGCTGCTCCTTCCTCAGCGGGAAAAGGCCTCACTGGTCTCCTGACACATTAGCGACGAGAGTGCGTGGTGCGTGCAGAGGGAAGCACGGAGCTTCGTCCGAAAGGCCCCCCAGGACAAAGGAAGAAAAGGAAATCTGAGTGTCATCGAGGGGTTCAGTGTTCTCACTTCCGGGGCTGGGGGGGGAACCTGGGGGGGTCTTGCCTGGAGGGAGGAACGACCCCCCCCCCCACATGGACGTGCGGCTGGAGGGACCCCTCGCAGGCAGGGGGCCTGTGGTGACTGTCACACTCGCCGGGACACGGACAAGGTGCCGGAGGACCTGGCCAGTTTGGCTCAGTGGTTAGAGTGCTGGCCTGTGGATCAAAGGAGCGTGGGTTCGATTCAGGGTCAAAGGGCACGTCCCTGGGTTACAGGTTCGATCCCCCGGCCCTGGTAAGAGGCAACCAATCTCTCTCTCTCTCTCTCTCTCTTTCTCTCTCTCTCTCTCTCTTTCCCCCCCGCCTACATCTCCCTCCCTCCCGCTCTCCTCTACAAGATCACTGGGCAAACGTCCTCGGGTGAAGATTAAAAAGAGACGGTGCCAAGGGCGGGAGGGTCCACAGAACCACGGAAACAGCAGGCGTGTGGCGTGCGGGCGGGAGGGGCGGTGCCGCCGGGGCACAGTGAGGGGAGGGGTTTCCAGGGTCTGGACCAGGCCCGCACCCGCCCGGCACGTCTCTCAGGCGCGTGGACCCTGTCGTCACAGCGGGTCTCTCGCCGCCTCCTCCCCGATCCCACGGCGGTGGCAGGGCCCCATCTGCGACCTCGAACCCCGGCGACCACACACGGAGTGACCGTGGCGCCGTGGCCCGGGGCCGAGTCCACAGACTCACATCCGCTCAGAAGACGCAGCGATGGGCCCCACCGCCTGCCCTGAAGCAGTGGGCAGCGGGCAGCGGGCAGCGGGCAGCCGCCGTAGGGACGTGAAGTGGCCCAGGTGCCTGGCCCGGTGACTGCCCGTCAGCGATGGGAGCCTTGGTAAGCGATGGGGGAAGTCAGGCCTCAGAAAACATTGGACGGGCCCTGGTGGGCGCCCACGGCGAAGGGTCAGGAAGGGGGAGCTCTGAGGCCGCCTTCGCGTCTGAAGCGTCCACGCGCATGAGGGACGGTCTGAGGACCCAGGAGAGAGGCATTCAACCGATTCTCTCTGCCTCGCCCCACCCCCTGGGGCTGCGCGGGGACCTGAACCCCCAGCAGGACCCAGCCCTGTGGTCCGAGTCCCCCTCCTGGTGCTGGGCCGCGGGGCCTCAAGCTCGGTCACCGGTCTGATGGGGGAGGCTCCTGGGCAGGACAGCAGGCCGCTGAGTTCTGGGGAGCCCCAGGGGCCGTCGCTCGGCCGCTGGGGGACGGAGCCAGGGG